AGTTTTCCTTATTCATTGTCCAGCTTTCACAGGCATATGAGGCTGTCGAAAATACCATGGCTTGGGTCAGGTGCACCTTACTCTTCAAAGTGACATCTTTGCTCTTTAACACTTCAAACACAGATTTGCCCAAAGCAATACACCATTTGATTTCTTGCTGGCTGCTTCCATGGGCATTGATTGTGGATCCAAGTAAAATGAAATGCTTTACAACTTTAAGTGACAAGTGGAATTGTTGTTGTTGTTAGGTTCCATCAAATTGGTTCTGACTCATAGCGACCCTATGTGCAACAGAACAAAACACTGCTTGGTCTTGCGTCAGCCTCACTATTCTTGCTATACCTGAGCCCATTGTTGCAGCTGCTGTGTCAATCCATCTTGTTGAGGGTCTTCCCCTTTTTTGCTGACCCTCCACTTTACTGAACATGATATCTTTCTCCCGGGAATGGTCCCTTCTGACAACATGTCCAAAGTAGGTGAGACAAAGTCTGGCCATTCTCGCTTCCAAGGAGCATTCCAGCTGCACTTCTTCCAGGACAGATTTGTTCATTCTTCTGGTAGTCCATGGTACTTTCAGTATTCTTCGCCAACACAACTCAAAAGCATCAACTCTTCTTCAGTCTTCCTCATTCATTGTCCAGCTCTCACATGCATATGAGGCGACTGAAAACACCATGGCTTGGGTTAGACACACCTTAGTTTTCAGAGACATCTTTGCTTTTCGGCACTTTAAAGACAAGTGGAATTAGTAGCCTATAAAGAGAATATCCAGAGGCCAATCCTTCGGAAGGCCATATTTTCCTGAATTTCAGCTCTGAGATATTTTGAAATGCAAACACAGTCATTTTCATTTGATGACTGTCCATTAACAGTTGTTATTTTATGTAGAAGCTGAAGGCTTAGGGATGTTGCACAGATCTGATCTTTTACGATACTGTAATGATGGTGCCTTTTTTTTAGGGTCTCCCGTATCTTTTCTTCTTGTTGGTGTCCATTCTCCAGTCTTCCTCAAGTGCATTGCCCTCATGGTGCTTGTCATGTGCTTGGCACCATATGAAAATCTAATCTCAGTAAGGGATTGCTGTTATTGTTAGTTGCCATCAAGTCAGCTCTGACTCATGGTGACGTAATGCATAACAGAAGTAAACACTGCTCGGTCCCGCACCATCTTCATGATCATTTGGTATATGCAAGTCCGTTTTTGTAGCTAATGTGCCAATCCATTTTATTGAGGGTTCTCTCATTTTTGCTGATCTCTGTTTTACCAAGCATAATGTCTTTCTCATGATTGGTCTTTCCTGACGATGTGTCCAAAGTAAGCGAGCCAAAGTCTGGCTTTCCTTGTTTCTAAGCAGTAATGGATTGGATGTACTCATTTATACTGACTCACAAGTGACCTAAAAGCAGCACAAAGCATGACCTTTCTGAAGGATATTCCATTATAAATGGGGACGAAGTCTTAAGACAAAAGGTTTGTGGATGATGGTGGGAGGATGTCTGGAAACTCTCTGAGATTTTGTGCTGGACTTTGTGTTCATATGTACAGTTTTCTTGGCCAAGAGTCCATATTCATCAGTTTATCAAAGAAGTCCACGAATCAATAAATGTTAGAAACAGTCTTAAGGGGAAGAACAGAAATGCAAACAGTGGAATTTGAAACTGTAGTTCCATGATTATAGACTCCATGAAAATGGGGACCAAATATGTCTTGCTCATCTATCACTTATTACATCCCCAGTGCCAAGAACATAGTGTGGTACATAGTAGTTTCTCAATAAATGTTACGTTCATTTACTTCTCCATGCAAAAAAAAATATTTATCGTTAAGTGAATGAATGAAAAAGTAAAGGATGTCAGCCAACAGAAGGGTAGAGGTATTCTTTGGGCATTAGGTCGTTCCTGTCATTCACACAGTTGGTCCTGTTTCTGTTCGAGTTACCCAAGTTACAGTCCGTGACAACTGCTGATGTTCCTGATGAACATCCAGGGCAGGTGAATCTGGGATGCAAAGGATCAGCTCAGGAATCTGCCTTCTTTGGGAGCCCTTTAGCACAAGGGACGGAAATCTGCTTCCCTTCATTCGCCCTCTTCTCATTCCCCCTTGTATCTTCGTCCATCACCAACATCATCGCCAGGTGGCAGCAGGCAGCAAAGGCGATGCTGCTGTTGGAAGTAGGGGCTGCTGCTCAGCAGAGACCTGCCACAGTATATCCTAAGCATTTTGAGGTGATAGAGCTCTTGTACCCAGCAGATGCAGGCTCTCAGACAGCTTACTTTGTGACAAAACCACCAGCAGGCATTGATGTAGAATGACCAAGAAATCCTATTCTGTCAGACCACAGGGGGAGGACCGGGCCAGGCCCAAGCACGATGTGGAAGTAAAAAGCCAGCCTTTTTTTTTTTTTGCCACATGCAGTGTTTACAGAGAACTGCTCCTCCATTGAAGCTGGATTTTGGACAGTCCATTTGCTGGTGTGGAGATAATGTTAAGAAGGCTTTAGGCATAAACAAACTATTTGGAAAAGAGCAAGGCAGAGCTGTCCCAAGGCAGGATGTGTAAATTGAATGAGGAGTTCTTGTCATGCAAATGAGCTTGGTAGCTCTGAACTTTCTACCTTCTGCAGGTGTAGACATGTCCATTGAGTTGTATGGAAGTATTGGAGGCATAAGAAATTGGATGTTTGGAGATCTGATGGGCACACTGAAGGAGAACAAGAGAACTGTGAGGCAGTTCCTCAGCTCAGGAAAACAGAATGAAGAACTTAGTTTCTTCTTATAGAATCCCTCTAGTTAGAACCTAGGGACAGTGAGTGAGTCATCCAAGTGGAACGGTGAGTTGGGGAAGTGTGAGGCTGGGAGAAAGGTGGTGTTAGCTGGGTACATGGGATGCAGGTGGGTAAGAAGTTGCCCAAAATCACACTAAGTGGCAAACTAAGGTTCCAGTCCAGGAAGTCTGAGTACTCCTGTGTGCATGCTTGGTTTAATCACTATACTGTACTCATGGAAATAGCACTGTTGTCATTTCACTCATGTCAGACCTTCTTGTCTAGACTTCAGACATTCTTTATAAATATTAGAGCAACAAACCCTTGTATCTTTCGCAGAACGTAGCAATAAATAAATAAATAAAATGCAGTTGGCTGATTAAAATGCAGGTTGTCATAGGTTGCACATTACCCAAGGTGCCAGGCACTATTAAAATGGCCTCTGTGGTTCTGAATGTTTGCTTTATCCTTAGTGAGATGTAACAATCCCTGATTGCTGACAATGGTTTGGCAACAGGGAAAAGTACAAGCTGTGATGAGAAAAATCAATACCAAGACTGCTTGAGGGCATCCCAAAGGGAAGAGACCGTTATTAAAATTTGAAATGGCTCTGCTCCAAAGTCATAAAATTCCTACAGCTGGAATTGAGCAACTCCTTCACCTGGAAAGAGGTTATACTATTTCTTAGACTTATTGTAGCTTCTGTGGTTTGGACTGTTGTGTGAGACTGAAAGCTGGCAGAATTTATTGTTTTGTATTTCCCAAAGAGACAGCTCTTGGGGCCTATAGAGACACAGGTATATCAGATGGAGCATCAGTGATTTCCATCCTGGCAGGTTCAGAAACTGGAAACTGGACAGTTCAGAGTTGTAGTATAACTAGGAAAGCAACAAAGGTGTGCTATGGGCCTTAAAGTGAAAGTGAATTTCAAGTGCTTCCTGGCCTTGAGCTAAGATGAGAGGGTACCGCTTTTTTGTGTGGTTCTTTGGGTTTGACTGCTTCAGCTGAAATCCAGGCTCTACCATGTGCTAACATATGTATTACCTTCTCACTATACTGGGTATCCCTGGGTGGTGTAAATGGTTAATGTGCTTGTCTGTTAACCAAAAGGTTAGTGGTTCAAATCTACCCAGAGGCACCTTAGAAGAAAGGCCTGGTGACCTACTTCTGAAAAATCACAGCCATTGAAAACCGTATGTAACACACTTCTACTCTGACATACATGGAGTTGCCATGAGTCGGAACTATCTTGATGGCAACTGCGCTAGTACAGGGAAAACTGTGATGAGAAAAACAGTCCTGGTTTTCCTCCTACTTCTCTGGTTGTTATTTATTGATCTCCTTGGGTGATTTACCTTCATCTTTCCAATCTCTGAATGTTAGAATTTCCAGGACCTCATTTTTTTACTTCTCTTTTCTGTCCACACTTACTCCCTTAGTGACCTCATCCATCCAGTCCCATGGGTTTAAATATCATGTATATGCCAATGACTCCTACATCTCCAGCCTGGACTCCTCTTTCAGACCTGTATGCTTCACTACCCATTCAACATCTCCAAGTTGGCCATTTCCAAGTCTACAGGTCTAAATCCCAACTCTGGATCTCTGCCCCTTCTGCAAGCGTGCTCCTTTCCCACTCTTCCCCATCTCAGTAAGGGGAAACTCCACCCTTCCTTATACTCAAGCCCAAAACCTTCATGTCATCCTTAATTACACCTCACATCTGATGCATTAGGAAATTAGGTCTGTCTTCTAAATATATCCAGAATCCAACCCACTTCTCTTTGCCTCCATCATGACCATCATGGTCTAAGCCACTGTTAGGTCTTGTTTGGGTTAATGCAATTGTCTCATAATTGGTTTTTCTGTTTTGGCCCCTGCCCTACTTCAGTCTATTTTCAATCAGTGCTGACAGTTATTTCCTTAATACACAAGATAGATCATGCCACTCTTCTGCTCAAAAGTCTCCCATAACTCCCCATCTCACTCAGAGTAGAAGCCAGAGGTCTCAGAATGTAAGAACTTCCCCTGACTCTACTACCTCTCTGACTTTATTTCCTACTTCTCTCTTCTGGGTTATAATAACCTCAGTCATGGTAATCTCTACAAGGCTGAAATCAAGGTATCAGTCAGATGTGAGCTCTTATCTGTAGGCTTTGGGGAAGAATCTCCTTCCAAGTTTATTTATTGTTGGCAAAATTCATTTCCTTGTGGTTGTAGGACTGAGGTCTCCACATCCTTGCAGGCTGTCAGCTGGGGATTGCTCTCATCCCCTAGAGGCCACCTACATTTCTTACCTACCACATGGCCTGCTCCATCTTCAAGATGGCAATGGTGTTTCAAATCCTTGTACTTCAAATCTCTGACGTTCTCTTTTGCTACCAACTGGAGAAAACTCTGCCTTTAAAGCACTCATGTGATTATTGTAGGCCTGCCTGTATAATCTCCCTGATAGTAAACCAAAATACATTTATCAAATGCCTTTTTCCAGGTAACTGTCATAATCCTAAGTGTGCTATCTCATCATATGTTCAGGTCTGAGGATTAGGGTGTAAAATCTAGTATGGAGGAAGGGACAGCATCCTAAGATTCCCCCTACCACAATGATATTCATACTATTTAAGAAACCAGTCAATCAGGATGTATACCAGCTTTAGCACAGGAAGAAGGTACTATCTTATTACCTTCTGGTCCAGATATTACTCCTTTATTTGCTGAATTGTAAGGAGGTCTGAGGGTGTCCCAGAGGAGTAGCTGGGATGACAGCTCTTCATACATTCAAAATAATCAAACCAAACTAATTGCCATTGAGTGATTACAACTCATAGTGACCCCCATTGGGTTCCAAGGCTGTAAATCTCTGTGGAAGCAGACTGCCTCATCTTTCTTCTGCAGAGCGGCTGGTGGGTTCCAGCCACTGATTTAGCAGCTAAATTCCTTAACCATTACACCACCAGAGCTCCTTATTCACCTATTCTTATGGCAATATTTCCATATTTCAACAACTGGGCAGCCAGACCAGTGCACAGCAGCCGATTATCAGCACTGGTGATAGAGCCAAAAATATAATAAGATCGTGACACATGTGTGAAGTACTACCTTTTTCTTTGAGCTCAGAGAGTGTTAGGTTGGTCCCAGATGCCTAGGGGTGGACATGGAGACCACCTGTCTTCCTTGGCCCTTCCCTAGGGTGCAGTGGGCCTTTTCATATCCACCAGCAGAGCTTTTCTACCTCCAGCCTCACCTTCTATCTTTGCAGTGCCAGGTTTATACAGGTGAATGTCTTAATTTGCAATGCTGTCTTCTGTAGTGAGAGAGTCCATCCATCATGTGAGCTTCCAAATGCTGTTACCTTGAAGGGGACAATCAATCCTACCTATCTAGGCTCTTCCCAAGTCATCTAGCAGATGTGGCTCACTGAGGCAAATGCTGTTGACTTGCTATTGGTGTTAGAGTGAACACTCCATAGCAGCCAAAGAAACCAAAGGTTCTTATTTACTTACTGAATGAGGCCATTGCACGGACCATCATGAGCCTCATGTTTTGTGATGACCAATCTCAGACAACATATGCCCCAAGTGGCTGAGCTGGGGTTAGGAACAGGGCCTAAGGTCAATAAACTTTGTGAGACTTGTCTGTCTCTCCCACCTAATATTTTTATATGAGTGAATCTGATAAAAATGGCATCAAGGGAAGCTTTACTTGATGGAACTAGAATACACACCAGGAAGAGCAGTGGAGAGGTGAAAGACATGTCAAAAGAGGGTAGTAAGCAGCTGGAGGGGGATATAAGGATAAAGGGAGAAGCAAACGTCCGCTAATCACAAACCACAACAATAATAATGTATGACACAACCAGCTGCCCTGCTTTAGCACAGACCTCAGTGATCCCTCCTTCACTGTATCTTGAGAATGACTCTATAAACCACTGAAGCAGAATATGCTCTGGCACAGAAACACAGATTGTGACATAGCAATATATCCATACCACCAGCAATTCTGCACCCTGCACAGAAAAAGCTCAACTCATCAACCAGCCAACCAAACCAACCAAACAATGCCGTCGAGTCGAACCCGACTCATGGCGACCCCTCCTTGGGTTTCCGAGGCAGTATCACTACAGAAATAGATTTCCCAACCTTCCT